AACATCATGCATACATCTGCATTTTACTAACTCTTTTTTCTCACAGTCAAAACATCAAGTTTTAGTATAAATCGACCAAAGATTTGTGCTGATACTTCTTCCAGTTTTTACCAACATTCCTCCAAATGGCATCTATAAGCCCATTCATAATCCATCTTTGAGTGTAAATTTCTGGGCACTCTAGTGTTCAATCATCTTCCACCTTCAAGTCACGAATAGCGGATCCGCCAATCTAACTCTCCAGGTTTAAGAAGATTGAACAAGGGCAGCTGTTGTGCCCTAAAATTTACCCTCTCATTTCTCAAATAATCTCTCACAAGATCTCCTTTGGTTCAAGACTGCATAAGGGTTGATCAGCCCAAGACACCTCCTCAATCACCGATGACTGAAAATTAGGGTTTGGGATTGCACAAGGATAAATGGACTTTTAATGCCCGATATGAATTTCATGGATCATTTTAGACCTTCAAGTTTTCTCATGTCAAGTTTCAAAGTCTTGGATCACATTTTTTCCCAGTCAATTGATCAGTTGACCTAAAATCAACTATATTGGGGAAAAAGTCAACTGTGGTCAATTTACAGTCAAACTTCATAATTTTTGGGACATATCAACAATATGAATTCACATATGTCATTTGATCAAGTTTGGATCCCAATTCCTCAAGAAATTTGACCAGATCATCAAAAGGGCAAAATGGTCAAAATTAGGGTTTTGACTAAGAAAGGGCAATTTCTGATTTTTGACCTAGCAAATGATTGATTGGTTTGAGACATGATCTCAAGGATTCAAATTCTTAATTTTGACCCAATTACATGGCTCAAAATATTCCTCAAGATCAGTTGATTGACATATGAATTTCCAGTCAACTGATGAAAAGTCAACTATACACTGAAAAGTCAAACTTTGGCTTTTTGGTCAAAATCAAGTGTCAAAGATCAAAATTCATCAAAACATGTCAAAATGTGAAACATGTTCATCAAGAAATCAAAAAGTCAAGATTTCATTTTGAAAAGTCAAAATTTCTAAACTTAGAAATTTTTCTAAGTGTTGAAAACTTCATATTTTTTCAAAACTTTGAGCCAATTTTCCACCATGATGCAAGATGATTCAAAGGAAACTTCCAACATGAAAGTTGTAGATATCAATGAGATATAAAACATTGTAGAACACAACTTCTCCTTTAAATTCATGTATTTCAAGTTATGATTTTGTGAATACATGTTCATGAAACTTGGAAACTTAGTGAAATTTTGCCCTAGTTTAGGCAGGATTTTGACCTAACTTCATGGAAATGTTTCACATAGTTCCAAGAGGAATTTTCAAAAATGTCCAACATAGAGGTTGTAGAGGACTTTACAAGCTTTCCAAAATATCCAGGAACTCATTGAGATCATATTTGAGCGAGGAGAATCGAAGGCAAGAAGTTAGGGTTTTCAAACTTGGATTACAAGCCATTTTGTGAAGAATACATGAACCAAATTCATGCTAGGCTGCATAATATTTGCTTTTCAGGCCTCAAACTTATTTTTCACTCCATAATTAAATGTTTACACAACTTTTAGAGCTTTGATCCAAGCATTTGAGCCATTATCCAAGTTGCATTTCTATTAATGGCACAAAGTAACATTGCCATTCTAGTAAAGAGGCTTTAATCACAAAGTCAACTTGTCTTGAGCTTTGCACTTGTTCCTTCTGATCACACACAATCTAAAATCCATAAGAAACTTGTCTAGAGCCTTTAACTACTCAGACCATGCTTGTACTATGCATTGAAACCATGTTTGTCAACCTTACTTCAAAAACAAGCCAATAAGGCAAAACATGTGATCTTGTACTTCTGACCATATCAAGTCCCCAAACTTTTCCATACATATACACAAGTCTATTGCAAGCAAATACACGATTTGAAACACTTCCAATCTCCTTGAAAACTCAGATTGCACAAAAAACTCCTTTGTTATGTAGAACCTGACCACAAACTCCCATCTCTCAAACCACTCTTGCGTTTCTTCTCCAAATCATCTCAAAAGCTTCCTTACTTCAAATACGACTCATCCCAATCCATGTTCCTAAACTGTAACTCCATCTTCATCAACTTCCATAGCCAAAAATAAAGCATTGAAGTTGGACTTCTCCAAACCATTCCAGCCACTCTCAACTCAAGCTAAGCATTGCATTAGCTTCCTAGAGACTCAAGGAAGCTAACCTGATCATTGCAGCACCTTGAATCAAGCTCAAACTCATTTCATGATTTCCAGTTTTGAGGTCTTTTTCCTGAACTTCTATCTTCATATTTAGGCATTGTTAGGCTTGCATTTGTGAAGACAAAATGTAGACATCATTGCCCTGAAACTATACATCCATATATTTCATTTATGTTGCTTGAGTAGGGAGAATTTTGAGTTTGAATCTCTGAAAATATTTAGGTAGAATTTGGTACTGTTAGAAATTCATGCTCATCTTTGAGAGTTAGCTTAAGTTATTTATATATTCAGAATCGTGAGGAAATTTCTAACAAGTTTGATGTTGGAAGTTTTGTGAATGGATGGGAAATGAATGAGTTACAGGTTCTTTGGCTGGAGGTTGAAGATGAAGTTCATTCAGGGCAAAACTTATGTTACATATTTTTTGTTTTGTTTAAGTTAACAGATGTATCACCACCCCAGTGCTTAAAGCGTGCGCCCGTCACCTATGGGACCTGGGTTCGAGCCCCAGTGGTACCCTTTTGTGCATTTTCACATTTTTCACTTCTGTTTTTTGTTTGCAGCCAACGCCTGGGCCCTTTTTGTTGGACTTTTCATTTTTTGATTCTTATACCCCCCTAACTATGTTTATACCCCTGGCTCTTTATTTTATTATTTCATTTTCTTTTTCTTTTTCTTTATTTTATTTTCATTTTCATGTTACTTTTATTATTATTATTATTATTATTATCTTTATTATTATTTATTAATAAAAATCCAAACAATTATTTTAATTATTATTTATAGTTACTTATTTTATTTTCTTATAAAACAAAAAGACTAAAAAATATTTTTTTCTTAAAACAAATTAATTTATTTTCTTAAATGATTAATATTTAGATAATTAGGTTTAATTATTATATTATTCTCTTGTAAATTAAAATTAATTTAGAACTTAGGTTTATTTTAATTGATTAACTTTCATTTTATTTTTATTAATTTAAAATCTTTTCATAAAAAATCCTAAAAATCATTTTTACTTATTCTTTTCTTTATTAGTTTAAATTTAATCTTGTTTTTGTAACTAATCATTTTTCTTAATTAGGTCAAGATTAAAACCCTTTCATGAAAACCAAACAAAAATCATTTCCTTTTCCATTTTGCATTTGTACCTTATTTTTTTTTTCAATTATTGTACATTTATTCAATATGATTGTAATAGTTAATTAGATTTAATTTTCTTGCAAAATCCCCATCTGTAAATTTGTACACCCCTCCCCTAATAATGTAATAGCTTAGTATTTTTACTTTCCACAATTTATCGCTTTATATAAATGCTAATAATTAGGATTTGTATGAAAAGATAAAATCAACAAATTAGCAAACCCTAATTCAAGACAAAACAATACATGTAAATCCAACACATTTGCACACTTGCACCCTTAGGGTAATTCCACTTTGTTGCCTTACAAAAATGGCCATGTTATGCATGTGAGATATCTTAGCCAAATGCAATAAAAAAATATAAGATCATAGTCCCTCGATGATGCTATCAAATGCTGCCTTTCAAAATGATCTTAGTCCCTCAAAGAAAATTGCTAAGATGTTTCACAACATTGCTATCATGGCTATACGATGACCCACACCAGTCCCTTTATATCCAAAGATAAGGCTTCTTACCAAATCAATGGTAAGATAGCAATATCAAAGGAAATGAAGAAATGGACTAAGACTTTTGGGTAGGTAGATTGTTCCTAGTTACTTGCTCAATTTTAAATCAAACACTCTTGCTTATTTTCAAAATAAGGACCAACACTTTCAAAAACACTTTCAAAACATTTTCCAAACATGAAATATTTTTTCAAAAGATCAAAACTTTGTATATGTTCTTACGGACAAGAACTATTACAAAGTTTGCCTAAACGATGACGCCTTTTCAAAATGCTTTCAAAACCATACAAAGCACATTTTCAAACAAAAGCAAGTGATCTAGCAAGCAACTAAGAGCCCATAGATAATTGGGGATGAAAAGAGTGCTAACACCTTCCCTTTTCATAACCTACCCCCCGAACTCTAGAAATAATCTCAAAGGTCTTTACTGTTCTTTTCAGCCCTTCCTTTTGGATAAAAGAAAAGTCGGTGGCGACTCTTGCTAACCTCAACATTTGCGATAAAACGCAAAATACCCAAGTCAGTTCTCCCACCGTATCACAATGAACTAAACATAACATGGACCAAAAAGGATATTTGTTTACCTCTGATTGAACCATCCTTTGATTTCTAATGTGTAGGAACAATTTCAACAACTTAATTGGTTACAGAATGAACCCATGAATAATTAAAAGATCTACGTTAATTCTAAACCATATAAATATTAATCTTATTTAAAAACAAATTCCAAAACAAGAACAAATTTTGAAGGACATATATTATGTCAGGTTGCATCAAATTGCATACTATACATATGAAAGAAATAGAAACACACTAGATGCATTGTTTTAAATTTAAAGCACAAACAAAAATCATCGTGCTAACATATTAATTAATAGAGATTCTATCTGCAAATACAACATAAACCAATCTGTCAATATAAAACAAGACAACACTAGTAATTTTAAATGCATTGACAATTGATTGTATTTATAATTATTTGGTTGTTATTTTGATTATTGACATATGATGAACCCAAAAATGAATAGTTATCTATATCTAGGTAACTATCCATTCTACTCTTATATTATATGTAGCTTTGGACTAAACATAGAAGTCAATTGAAAAAATGAATATTATAAACTTATGTTCTTTTTATGTAGAAAATGAATCGAAGTTGGATGTACGATAGAGTAAATTCCAATAGGTATTGTTTGAAAGATGAGTTTGTTAGTGGAGTTGAAGGTTTTGTCAGTAAAGCCATGAATCGACCAGACTTTTTAAATGATGAAGGGATAATGTGTCTTTGTGAAAAATGTGTATGCATTCCCTTGAAGACGCCTAGTGAGGTTAGACATCACTTGTACAAAAATGGTATTTTCCCCAAATATTATACATGGACTGATCATGGAGAAGATACTCAGAATATAAACTTTGATGGTCATTCTAGTAGTGGCAGAAATGATGGTGGGGATAATCTGGGTGATGAAGAACAATTGGATGCAATGAATGAAATGTTATATGATGCTAGTAGGAAATTTGTTAATGTTCCCAATGGGAATGCTAATATGGAAAACGAAACAGTTAGTGAGGGCGAGGTACCAAATGAAGAAGCTCAATGATTTTATGATGTATTAACCTCTGCAAACCAACCCATTTATGAGGGAGCTTATGAATCCAGACTATCTATTTTAGTTAAGCTGTTGGCTGCCATGTCTAATTGTCATGTTCCTCAAAAGACCATGGATTTTTTCACTCAAATGCTTATCGATGTTTGTCCAACAAATCAATGCTTACCTGAAAACTATTACCAAGTGAAGAAGTTGGTGTCTAAGTTGGGATTGGAGGTTGAGAAAATTTATTGTTGTGTGATTGGATGCTTATTATATTATAAAGAAGATAGCACTTTAACTCAATGTAGAGTTTGTGAGGCTGCTAGGTATGTTCCTCGAAAGAGTGGAATGAGAAAATACAAAGATGTGGCAGTGAAGAGAATGTTCTATTTTCCAATCATTCCTAGGTTATAATGAATTTATGCTTCAAAGGAATCTGCAGCTCAAATGAGATGGCATCGTGAGACCATAAGCAATCTAAATGATCTTCGTCACCCATTTGATGGAAAAGCATGGAAACACTTTGATGAAGTTTATCCCGATTATGCTAGTGACCCAAGAAATGTAAGATTGAGTTTATATACTGATGGGTTTACACCTTACATTCAAGCCTCTAGTTCTCCTTATTCATGTTGGACGATAATAGTCACACCATACAATCTACCTCCTGAAATGTGCATGACCAAACCATATATGTTTTTGACTTGTATTGTACCTAGACCGTACAACCCAAAAGTTAAAATAGATGTCTACTTGCAACCTTTGATTAATGATTTTCTAAGCTTGTGGAGAGATGGCATTGTGACATATGATATCTCTATGAAGCATAATTTTGTAATGAGAGCGCATTTAATGTGGACAATCAATGATTTTCCAGCATATGGTATGTTGTTTGGATGAGGGACACAAGGTAAATTAGCATGCCCTTATTGTATGGATAGTACAAAGGCTTTCACATTAGGATATGGGGGAAAATAATGTTGGTTCGATTGTCATCGTCGATTTTTACCAATGAATCATCCGTTTAGAAAAAGTAAAAAGAGATTTAAAAAAAACATGATTAAGAAAACAGACCACCTTACATGTTTACCGGCCATGATCTCTGGGAAGCTGTCTGTGATTTTCCAAAAGTCACAGATAGTGGTTGGGCTACCAAATTTCCAGGGTATGGAAAATAACATAATTGGATCAAAAGAAGTATATTTTGGGATCTTCCATACTGGAAGGACAACTTGTTAAGGCAGAACCTTGATGTGATGCACATAGAGAAGAATGTATTTGATAATGTGTTTAACACAGTCATAAATGATCCTACAAAAACAAAGGACAATGAGAAGGCAAGATTGGATTTACCTCTTAACTGTTTACGTGGGGATTTAGAGATGTATCCTCTACCTAATTGAAAGATGGCTAAGCCAAAGGCAAAATTTTCGTTGACATCCGAAGAGGCAAAGCTAGTTTGTAGATGGATTAAGGAACTAAAAATGCTTGATGGATATGCCTCAAATCTTTCTAGGTGTGCTGTTGTCACCAAAGGTAGGATGAAGGGGATGAAATCCCATGACTAACATGTATTCATGGAGTGTTTTCTTCCAATTGCTTTTTGTTCCTTGCCTAGTGAGATATGGAAGCCGCTAACCAAGTTAAGCCATTTCTTTAAAGACTTGTGTTGTAATACATTGAAGTTGGAAGACCTTGTTAGGTTGGAACATAATATTTCCATCATTATATGCAAGCTAGAAAGAATTTTTCCACCAGGTTTCTTTGACTCGATGGAACACCTCCTGGTTCACCTACCTAATGAAGAAATCCTTGGTGGTCCTGTACAATATAGTTGGATGTATCCATTTGAAAGGTAAACAATGTGTAATTTTTGTAGATTACTTTAATGAAATAACATCTTTTAACTGTTTCACTCTTAGATTTATGGGAGACTTCAAGCGTTCAGTGAAAAATAAAGCCAAGGTTGAAGGTTCAATATGCACTGCCTACTTACATCGTGAAACTACTTACTTTTGCTCTCACTATTTCAAGACCGTTAGTTTGTTTCCAAGTACAAGTTTCAAAAATGATCCTGGATCATATCATGAGAATTTCAAACCAACACTTTCTATTTTTAACAAATGCAGTCGTCCTAGTGGAAAGCCTCGGGACTATTGGGTGCGTGATAAGGAATGAGAATCTGCTCACATGCATGTCCTAATCAATTGTGGTGAGGTTAAACCATACCTCGAGTAAGTAAATTTTGTAAAAAAATTTCTTTGGTCTCAACCATTGTGTATAAATACTTCATAAATTTTATATTTAGTGTCAGATTGTTCATGCAATATCACTGTATCAATGAGGAAGATGCTTCTGGTCTTATACACAAGCAATTTCCTTCATGGCTAAAGGAATATGTAAGTGTACTTCTCACATTGATGTAGTTTGTTAATGTAATCTCTATAAGATTATATGTATATTTTTTTAGGTAAATGATGAGATAAATGGAACACCTAGCCCATACGTGAAGGCATTAGCTCTTGGTCCTAATCATAAGGCAACGCCGTGGCACATCTACTTTGTTAACGGGTACAAGTTTCACACTGAGGAATGGATTCGCGATAAAAAAGACTACTAATTGTGGGGTACATGTGAACGAAATTACAAATGGAGGAAAATATGATTTTTACGGTATCATCCAACGTATCGTTCAATTGGAATACCATGGCTTTAGCAACAAGATTGCCCTATTTTATTGTGCTTGGTATGATCCAACAAATAATAGTGGCACAAGAGTTAATAAGGAGTATAATATTGTTGATATTAAGAAGAATAAACGATATCATCAATATGACCCGTTCATTCTTGCACAAGAAGCAAAACAAGTGTATTATGTCTCATATCCAAATATTTGTAGAAACATGCGTGGATGGTGTGCTGCAATCACCACAAAACCAAGGGGTTATATGGAGATAGATAACACTGAAGATGAAATGCCTTATCAATATGATGAAATGTCACCAGTTGTGCCTATTACATAACTTGAACAAATATGTGGTTTAGCCGATGAAGTATTAATTGATGATGTTGAGCCAGTACCAGTGACAAATAATCCAATGATTCAAGATGGAGAGAACAATGATGTAAATTAGTTGTAGTTTTAGTTTATAATAGGCCATGGTATTAGTGCTAGTGACAAATGATCTCATGTATGTTTTAGTTATGTGATTTATCAGTGAAATTGTTCATGTAGTCTGTTTTGTATGATTTGCCTGTTTTGTATTTGATGTTTGAGAATTTATTTGTAGAATTGGAATTATGCCTAATGTACTTGTAAGATTTATTTTGTAAAATTTCCATAATTGTTTAGTTTTTCAGAATTAAGTCCTCTTCGTTATTTGATGTGGTTAGACTTTAATTTCCATTAGGACCTTTCTGCTTCCAAATCAGTGGAGTTATAGGCCACTGTAAAAGTTCCATCCATCCCATGTAGGTTTATTTTGATGTTATGGTTTAGGCTGTCTGAGCCATGTACTTGGCATGTGGACTACTTTGGTTTAAGTGTATAACATTAGGATATTGAATGTAGTGATGGCTTGAGCATGTATGTAGGTATGATGGTTAATTCATTTTGATTTCTTTCTAAGAATCATCTAGTCTAATAAATGTTTACATATTAACAGCTTTTCATATTATATAGAGTGAAAGAGTAAATTGGAGTTCAACGGACTGAGGGGAAAATAACGACACAAGTTGTTCGAGGTATTTCCACAGCATGACTCTACCTCCTGTAGAACTTCATATTTAGATATCTATAAAAGTAGCTGCTTCATTGATCTAACCATAACTAGGTTGTGCAAAGTGAGTTTTTACAGGCTAAAATAACTATTAGCTTTAATTTGGACAATCTGTACGCACATAGATCTCATTAATTTGATTATTATTAGCTGCAGATTGGATTGCCACCCATTTAATTTGTTTATTTTTTGAAGATTAAGTTTTTGACAAACTTGGATGGAAGGCCTTTCATAACACACTTACTAAAATTTTCGGCTTGTGTAGATTTTTGTGGCTCGTGGTTGGTGTAAGTTGAAATGATAGGAGAAGGGTCAAAGAAGAGAGCACCAATAAGCAAGAAACCGTAAGATGACTAGAACTTTCACAATTTAGTTTCTTTACAATTTAATATCTTTTGATGCATTCTTGCCAATGCCAATTATGTTAAAAAGAGTTGTTAATAGGTTATGCCGGACACGACATATGCCACCCGGGGCTCTAGCTGTAAACATATATTGCTTGAAGCATGACACAAGGAAAAAAAGCACCACTTCTAGCTTGCGTCAAAGAACACAAGCTCCTTCACCGCATCAAACCACCACAACACCACCACCACCTCATACAACCACAACACCTTCCATGCCTCTTACAACCCTAACACCTCCACTGCCTCAGACAATCGAAGTAGCATCACAGCCTTAGACAACCGACACATCACCAAAATTTGAGTAATAAACATTTGTTCCTACCCCTAGAGTGACACATCATGTTTTGCAAGGTCCAACTATCAATTACACCATGATAGCAGGGGAGGAAGAGGAGAGGGACCAAACTGTTTCTGATGAGGAATAGGAGGTCGCAGAACAAGCATTTGCTGATGGGTAAAGGCCGATGATTAACATTGTGGGAAACAGGTAAAAAATTTAGTTACACACACTTTTTGATTGAGTGATATGTGTCTTTTTTATTTATACACTATGAGAGCACACATAATCTTTAATATTCTGCACCATCTACCCTAATCATAATCAAATTAAACATTAAATTCAACACAACAAAACACAACTTTCATAAGTCAATTGTTGTTGTTTAGTTTTTCTTCATGGTTGGCTATGTAAAGTGTTTTGGTACATAAAGCATGGAGTTAAAAATCCTTTTTTACGGTCCAAATTTGATCCTGTTTAGTGTAAAATACTTAGATAATCTCGACAACACTTAGATTTTGCTGCTTATTCAAGTATGAGAACAAGTCTATAACATTATAAAATAGTATATTCATAAAATAAATGTCTAATACAAATACACTACTAATAAAATGCACTTCAAAAACACAAAATATATCTCATAGAACATAATTCATTTACATAAGTTTGTAAAAGTTAATTTTTTTATGTGCTACTGTAGAATACTATGTTCACATGATCTTTGTTCTAATTGTTTGGTAAACTTGATATTTGCTTTGTAGGTTGACTCCAAGCAGTATTGTTGCTGAAGCTATTAGAAAAGTTTTAATAAAACTCTATAAAGGAAATTTCTTACAGTATAGTGAGCTTAAACCTGAGAATAGAAGAGAAGAGAGACATGCATACTTTGATTTGTTTAAAGTAAGACATGTAATTTCCTTTTTACTATAGTATGATGATAATGTATATTTTTTTAAAACATTTTAATCAACAATATTTCTCTTTTGGCAGTCTTTTGTTTAGTGGGAGCCGTGTGCTGACGCCAAAATACAAGATTTGTTTCATAAAGCTTGTGGTAAAAGAATATCTGATATATTTGGTAAGATTAGGAAAAAGGGGGGAAACCTAAATGGATGGGTGAAAAGGTTTATGCATATCTTCTTAATGGGTGGAAAACAGAAGAATTCAAAAAAGTCTTTCAGACAAAATAAGACTAATCAAGCATCAACCAAAAGGGGGGCGATCCATACCACGGGACGTAGAGCTCATCATGATGTTGCTATAGAATTGGTGTGTATTCTATTTGTAATTATAATGCTTCAACATATTTATATCCGATATTCATCATAACCATATATATGTTGTCTTTATTTATAAAATAAAAAGTTGAGCCGACCACCAAATCCGGACGGGCTCTTCATGATCACCCACAAAAAGAAGAATGGGTAGTGGGCTGACCGTCGTGCAGAGAATACACATGTAAGACCTTTTTTATGCCTTAACTTAATTTTATATCCGTGTATAGTTTTTTCATACTGCATTTATGCTTCCATACTTCTTGCTTGCTATTATATTTCATATTTCCATTCCAACTACTGTTGCCATCAGTGTCCTCATGTCATTATTGTAATGCATCCAAGAAAAATATATAGAAATTAAAAACGTTATATTATTGCATCTTAAGTAGTGTTGTCTGTACTTTTGACACTGAATCCAGTCTTATTCAATTCTAGAATATATGTCCTGAAATATGTGATAAAAGCACGTGGTCAACATTTTAACCATAAATGCAATTGAATTTAACAAAGTAGGGATGACATGGCATTATTAAAATTTTAAATTAGCATATGTTATTATAGATTTGGCAAAACAAAATTTTATTTGAAATTTGAAGTTTGACAAAATTTTATGCTAACTACACGTGAAACTGATCATATTAGACTGAGTTTCATTTTTCTTTTAAGTTGAGTTATTGTAGCACATATTAATTATGCCAACTAGGCTCCCATTGCACATTAGATAGTGTGACTGTCGAGTCTTTGTTTTTTGTTTATGAATTGATTTTTCTTGATTTTCAAACTATCAGAAGTTCAATACTTGATTAAATATCAAAATACAAAGTTCCTCAGAACATATAGGAGAGTAACATGAATTGTATACAATTGCAGTGTAGGCTTTTATGGATGAGCACTTGTTGAATGAACAAACTTTATGAACTGCTACAATTATCATATATCTTATTATTTTGGGTAGCTTATTGGAATGCCCTAATTATTATTATGTGTTGTACAGGATGATTATGTGAATCGTCTAACACAAGCCACCCAAAATGATAATAATGTGGATGGGTCGGAAAAGCTACAATTATGGAAAGAAGCTGCCAACGATAAGTCACGAGGCCGATGTTATGAAACTGCCCGAATGGCAATCAACATACAATATAGCGTGTCTTACTTGACACAAGTGACCGTTTCAAACCCGAATAGAGAAGTGGAGAGCCAAGCCATTGAGACGGCTAGAGCTGAGGTTTCTAGAGCACGTGAAAAGGCTGCATTAGCTAATGCGCGTGCAGACGAAGCGAATACGAATGCAAGAGAAGCTATAACTGAGACAACATAATTTAAAAGGAAATTTGAAGAATTTCAGAAACAACTGTTTGCTTGGCAGTCAGGTCAGACAGGTACTTCCACTGTTCCTTCTAGTGTCCATCCTAGTGCTAGTGATCATTATGATGGACTCTGATGGTCATTCATTGGATCTAAATGGAATGAGTGATGGATGTTGACATTATCTTTTTCTTAATTTTAGAACTTTTTTTGTGGATTTTCACTAGTTTGATATTTTGTGTTGGTATTTTGATGTAACTTTGACATCTTTATGTAACGACATTATGGATGAGAACTAGTTTGATATATTGTCTCAATATTTTGATGTAACTGTGACATGTTAATTAATGTAGCAATATCGTAGATTTTTGGAAGTTTGTTATCTTGTGTTGAAGTTTTTATTTGATGATATATCAATGAATACTTTGAATTACAAAAATAGGTTTAAATTTCAAGTAGAATTAATTTGGTTTTAAACAGGTATAAATATTTTAAAGCAGAATCACTAAAGTAATTAAATAGTAGCGCCGACTAAAACTGACGCTATTGAACAACATAATAGACCGTTAGCATCGATTTCAAGCTACGTTACATTGCACGACTTTAGCTATGTAGCGTTCATTATGATCTACGTTGGACCTTAGAAATAGTGGCCCACAGAACTGACGCTAATACATTGAAGACAATATTTAAGTGACCCTATAAACTGACGCTCTTTGGAAAAAAAATATTATAGTGGCCTTCAAAACCGCCACTTAATAAATGTTAACATCAACAATAACTGACGCTAAAGGAAAACAATTCTATAATGTAGCGTCTGTTTTGTTAACATAGTGTCCCTTTAGCATTGTTGTAGTCGATGCTACCTGTAGAAAAGGCTGGCCATTATGGTTTGCTTCCACCGTTAACGTGTCCGCCCCGACCCCGACGCCAAGCCAATGCTAACGACATTTAGCGGTGGTTTTTGGCCGACGCTAAAACGCAATTTTCTTGTAGTGAAAGCATTTTAAATAGATCTAATATTTTGACTGTAAACTGTATGTATATGGTTTTATCTAGATCCATGTTTATGAGTTTGATTTATTCTTTCCAATCTCTCACTTTTTATTGCGATTTGGTTTGAAAATGTTAAGGGTATTTGAAAGTTATGGAACTGAAGAAGGTTCACGATTGAAGATATGGACTACTGTTGCAACTGGTTTTAAATATAGAGTCTCCACCTTTAATTTTTATCCTAAAGGAAGGGAGTATAAAGGAATAACCCTAAAGAGTTCAAAGATTCTAGGTTTGACTCGGTTCTAGATGAGGGAAAGGTGTTAGGAACCCCTTATCTACCTTGTTCACAAGGATACTAGGTTTAGAAGCGCGTTTTAAGAAATGGGGTTTTAAGTTTTATTAGGGGAACTCGTCATGATTTTTGATCGTATACCCACGTATCCTCTTGGGAAGAATCAGCGTCCCATTTCGTAATTCGCAGTTAGTTTGTAATTTTTATGGATTGCGAAGATATTCACATTTTCCGCATGTTTAGTCTAGGTGTCATGAATAACGAAGATTATTAAACTAAACATGCAGTTGATTTGAATGTATTCACAATCTTTTTGAAAGTTGTTTATTGAATTAATTTGATTTAAGAAAATAAGTTGTAGTTGGTTAAACATTTTTTAATATATTGATTATTGAAAATATCCTATTTAAATGCATGGATAAAAATAAAATTTAATGAAATAAATAAAATAACATTTTAATGAGTTGGAAAATAATATATTTATATGGTAAAAATAAATAATAGAATATTAATAATTATAAAAATATAAAAATCTAAATATATAAATATTGTAAATAATGAGAATATAAAAGAAATATAAAAATATAAAAATAATAAAATAAATAAAATAATAAAAACGTAGGGAGGGGGTGTAAATGAACTAGGTTAGTAAAACCATATGGGTGTTAAAAGCATGGGCCTGAATTCAGATATTCAATTCAGGCCCAAAGACAAGGGGGGAGAGGGTGCAAAATTGCACTAAGAAGTAAAACCAGAGGGGGATGTAGAGCAAGGGGCCCAAGTCCAGATTTTGGACTGGGTCCATTAAGGCTAGGGGTGCGCTTTTTGTTCATTTTAGCAAAGAAAAAAAGAATGAGGTGTGTAAAGCATATGGGCCAGGCCCAGCGCTTGGGGAGGAGGTCCAATAGGAAATGTGTGGGAGAGTGCGTGATAATTACTATGGACGCACGTGTTAGTACCGATAGGTGAGGATCGTGAGGCTGGGATCGAGGGGAGCACGGTAACACAAGGGGGTGGCATGCACGCGATTATATAATATACTATATTTTATTTTCACAAAACAAAAACATAATATTTGTGTTATCTTCTTCTATTTCTACGCATATCCCTCTCTTCCTCTCCAAT